GTGCACTCAGGTCTCCCAGCAGTTAAAACTCCTCCCATCAGAGCTGGAATCTCTGTGAACTGCCCTGAGACCGGGCACTGCGAGGTTCATGAACGACGCCCAGTTGCCGGAAACAAAACCCCTCTCAGAAGCAGGGCTCAGGACAGAAGACGTTCCCTCAGGTGCAGCCGGTCAGGGTTCAGGGGTGAGGCAGAGGCAGGCGCCCGGCCGCAGCGGGCAGCGCGGGCAGCTGGGCTGGGTGGAGACCGGCACGGAGCAGACCCGCCATTAGACCTCAGCCCCTCGGGTGGAGGCTGCCTTCAGGACTCCCAGTGACACGCGTCCAGACAGGTTCCCAGGCAGGAAGATGGGTCTCGGGCAGAGGCCCAGGGGTGCCCAGCACCATAGCTGCCGGCAAAGGCCTGCTGCCTCCCACCCTGTTCCTGCCCGGAGAAGCTGTGCCGAGCTGTGGCCTGTGAGCCTGGAGCTGCTCCCTCCGAGTCCCTCTGGGTGAGCACGGGAGTGTCAAATCTGCTGGCAAGAGGGACAGCCCCACCTCTCCCCTGGCCATCGAGAAATGACTAAGAAAGTCCAAACATCCCAAACATCTCACCCTGCAGGACCGAATCGGACGGCCGCTGTCACCAGACCCCCGAGTCACCTCCTCGTGCTCCCACAGTGCTGAGCGCGCCCTCCTTCCCAGGCCCTCCCACCAAATTCGAGGCTGCCTGCAGGTTCACCTCACGCACTCCCGGCTCCTGGGCCAGGTGCCCTGTGTGCCCCGCACTCACCTTCTGGGGAGGGGCTCCCAGCAGCCCCTGGCCCCCTCGCCTTCTTGGTGGCTGCCTGGGCCGGTGCCCAAGTTCCCAGTCCCTCAACACCCGACAGAGGGCCCAGACTCTCCACCCAGCCCTGCGACCTCCACAGTGACCTCCTCGGGCCCCTCCTTAGACCAGTGGCGCTGCCCAGGCTCCCCCTGCAGGCAAGTCCTCATCCTGCTACTGACTCGCATCTCCCCTCGCCCACGGCAGGAGCTCAGGGCCAGACTCTGAAACCCACACACACCTGCTCCGCCCACAGCTTTCCTACCCCTGGGGATGGGACCTGCCTTTCCGGTCACTCGGGCCAAACACGGGGTGTTCTTGGCTCTTCTGTTTCTCTCACGCCCCGCACTCAACCCACGAGCAGCCGTGCAGGATTCACTCTGAGAACATAGAAACTCCCTGCACCCCCACCGGCCGACCCCACACGGCCCCTGCCTGCCACTGGGGTGAGAGTGAGGGCTGCCTGCAGGATTCCCTGCAGGGTCTTGTCTGCACCGCTGCCCAACCCGTCCTTCCGGACACAGCTGGACCCCACCAGCCTCCACCCCCCACGCCCGAGGCGCACATCCCCCCCAAGCACAGCCGGGGCTCATTGTGACCTGCATGGCCCTGCAAACCCGGGTCCTGTCCACGCTGACATCGCCCCCTCAGACTCCTCAGCCACCTCACTTCAGATGTGCAGGCTCCCAGCTGTTCCGCAAACACTCATGCCCCATGGGGGAAGCAAACTGGGGGAGAAAGAAGTTGTAAAAACTGGAAGAAAAAGAGGAGTGGGTGGATGGATGGACAGATGGACAGATGCGTGTGGGGGTGGACAGATGGGTGGATGGGTAATCGGGCGGGTGAGGGAGCGATGAGCCTTAAGTTATAAAGCCTCTAGAAGAGAATATAAGGAGAGAGCCTTTGTGACCTCGAGCCAGCAAAGGCTTTTTCCATACAACACCAAGTGCACAGCCCAGAAGGAAAACAAGGATAGAATGGACTCCGTCAGATGAGGAACGTCTGATCTTCAAAAGACACTGTTAATAAAATGAAACACAAGTCATGACTTAGAAAAAACACTTACAAATCCAATACCTGATATAAGATACATATTCAGAATAAAAATTTTCTCAAAATTCAATAATAAAAAAAATCAACCAAAAAACCAAATGGATGAAAGACTTGGACGTTTCACCAAAGAGTGGGCAACGAGCCCATGAAAAGATACTCAACATCACCGGTCAGGAGGACAACGCAAATTTTTTCTACCCTCACCCGAGGACATGCTATTGCTTTTAGAGAGTGGGGAAGGGAAGGGGAGAGAGGGAGAGAAACATCGATGTGAGGGAGAAAGGACGACCAGCTGCCTCTCACGTGCCCGCACCCGGGACCAAACCCCCACCCTAGGCACCTGCCCTGACCCGTGGCCCTTTGGTTTGCAGGCCGATGCCCCACCCACTTAGCCACATCGGCCAGGGCAGAAAATGCAAATTTAAGCCACAAAACGATACCACTATGAACACTCCGGAAAACATTTTTCAACAACTGTCAACACCCAGTGCCAACTGGAACAGCAGCTTTGGAAAAATATGTAACAACACACTTTTATAACACATACACGTACCACATAACCCAGGGCTCACATTCCACAATAAAACTCCATGCAAGTGTTTATAGTGACTTAATGCATAATCGACAAGCCCAGGTGTGGCGACTCTGGCCAGCAGAGTCCGCCTGCTGTGACTGAAGACGAGACTAAATGCACAGGCCGCGGCAACCCTGTGGGGGGACAGGACGGCACGGCCACTTCTCTCGGGAGGAGAGCGCCTGACCCTCACCTAGACAGGCTTTTATTGTTTTTCTTGGGTCTTACGTCAAAGAAGGATTTATTATCTATTACATAGAATATTATTGTCTATGTTTTAGGTACAATCAAGGAAATGAAAATAACATGTAGAGGTGAAAGGCGATGAGCTGATTAGCTCTGTCCTTGGGGAAAGTTCACACAGGCTTTGGAAATTACCTTGAAGATAGACGATACTTATTTGTTGTTTCAGACCGGGGTGATGAAGTTTTAGCAAGAGCGAGCCATAACAGTCTGTGTGCATTTTCTAGGCCTGATTCCCACAGGAAAGCTCGGCCTGAAGGTCTGGCTCCTGCCCACCACCTTGCTTCTGTAGGTTTTCCATACAGGGCTGAGTCACATTTGCCAGACCAAAACAAGCTGTGTTCCCCTACACCATGGAAACCACCCAAAAGTCCCCCAGTGGGGGCGTGGGTAACCCACGGTCTCTCCATGCAGTGGAGTGCTCTGTGCCAGCCTGGGGTGGGGGGGGTGGGGGGTCAGCTGCTCCGACACGTTCGAACCCCAAACGCTAAGTGAAGGTGGCCAGGCGCAAACAACACGTGTTGTTTTCTTACGGCTCATAAGCTATTCTGGGAAAGTCAATGCTATAGGGACTTCTGATGGGGAAAAGGTTTACCTACAAAGGGACAGGGTGGGGGACTTGGGGAGTAATGACACAGCTCTAGGTTATCACTGAGGTGACCTGACCCACCAGGGAGGGCCAGGAGCCAATCTACCGAGAGTCTGGTGACTTCTGTCCTGCCGGGCTTCCTGGAGCTGTGCCACCCTTGAGGACTGCTACTCACGGTCCACATGGTGACCGTCCTGGAGAACCTGGTCATGATGGTGACCACCCGAGCCAGCTTCTTCCTGGCCAACTTGGCGGTTTTGGGGACTCTCTGCACCTCAGTCACTGTCCAGAAGCCACTGGCTGAGCTCCTGGCACCAGCCAGGACTGGCTTCTTCTCCACAATCCTCAGCTGTTCCTCTTCTTCTGGTTCGGCTACTCCAAGTGCCTCCCCCTGGCTTCCCCCTTCCCCGCTGGCCACCATGGTCTGTGACCAGTACCTGGCCACCTGTTGCCCTGCACTACCTGGCCATTATGGACTGAAGACTCTGCCTGCAGCCGGCCCTCGGTGCCTGGGTGGCGGCTTCCCAGACGCCTTCCTGGCCTCCTTCCTGTCCACGGCTCTCATCTCCTGCCTCAGGTTCCTGCCGCACTGCCCCGCCCCCCATCACAGGGGCTGCCCCCTCGGTTCCAGGAGGGTGCCGTCCTCCCAGTTTCTAACCCAGAAACAGATTTAGTGGGTCCCTCTGCTCTCCTTGCTAATTTCTTTCCTGTGATTCCCATCAGGTCACAGAAGAGAAAGGGGCCGGAGGTGCCTACAGCCAGCAGCCCTTCCTGGCCAGGGGCTCAAAGCACATTGTCGTCCTGCCTCCCTCAAGCTGAGATACAAGCAGTATCCTCGCCCATCCTGAACGGTACTTAGGATGTAGAAGAGTAAGCGTGGTTTTATTCCCACAGTGTTTCCTTCTGAATTATCCAGAAAGTAGGAAGACATTCATTAGAGGTGAGTACTGATTTGCCTACTCGTCACATGTCGGCTGGGCACTCCCGCGTGGCCGGCTGAGGTCTGGAAAGGTCTCTCCAGCAGGCAGGCAGGTGCCACAGCAAAGGTGTCTGGCCAGGAGATGCCTCCGGCACAGGTGGCGTTTGAGACCAGAGAAAGTAAGAGGCGACTCTACACCTTTGGGGCCAGGAGGGGGCGGTCCCTGTGCCCACTCCTGAAGCCCCAGGCCCAGCGGCTGGGCTGGAACCCTGCTGTCCAAGATGGGGCTGGAAGGGGAACCACAACAAGACAGTACAATCCCAGGAAGTGTCCTGGGTCCCCCCAGGCAGCGGCTGAGGAGACCTGATGGCTTGGGCAACTGGTTACAGGCACCCTAACCCTAACCCTAACCCTAACCCTAACCCTAACCCCTTCCCCAGACCTGGGCAGCAGGGGCAGCCTTGCAGCCACCGTTGGGGCTGGGGGTGTGCGGAACTCCCTGGTCCCTGCGCCTGAGACACCCCCTGGGGCCGAGAGGAAGATGAGGAATGTGGGGAAGGGGGACGGGTGGGGGTGAAGCGAGGACAGATGCGGGCACAGTGCCCAGCCGGGACTGGAGACGGGGATGTGTGGAGATGGCGGACACCTGGGGAGACTGCTGAGGGGAGGGGGGGTGGAGGGCGGGCGCAGTGCTGCGAGGGTGGCGGTGCTGGGAAGGGAATGGGGCCGCGAGCTCCTGGAACTGCCTTTATCTCCTCCCATCCCGGCTCCGGGGGGACGAGCCTGTGTCTGCACGGCCCCCATCCTAGGGCGGAGGCCTCGCGCAGGATCCTGGCTGCAGGGCTCCGCGCTCAGGCAGAGGGTCTCCGCCACAGCCGGCGTCTTTCCGCTCAGCTGCAGACCTTGGAGCAGCCACTCCGGCCCGCGGTTCCGACCAAGGCCGGTGGAGGGTAAGGCTGGGCGGCAGGGCCCAGGCACCAGCCTGGGGCCGGGGATGGAGACGCCGCGAGGGGCTTGGAGGGACCAGGAGGGCCCAGCAGCCACCCAGGTCAGATCGCTCGCTGCTCCTGAAAGGGGGCCTGTGTCCCCGCCAGTCCCTGTCTCCTGTCCCTGTAAGGGCGGGGGGGGGGGGGGGCAGGCGGTCGGGGGAAGGTGGAGCGCACAGGCCGGGGTCCGGTCGGGACCATCCCCTAGGTCCCCGCCTGCGCGGGCTGAGTCTGCACCGAGTCCCCAGACACGCGTTCTCCCCGATTCTGGCTCCGCGCCCGATGCACGCCGCCCGGGATGGTCCGGAAGGGCCGGGCGAAGGCACGCGCAGTTCTTTCTCTGGATCCGGATCTAGGGCTTTGGGGGCGCTTTGCCCCTGAGACTACGGCTTCCGAACGCAACCCCCCACCGCGGACGCGCGGGTCCTTCCCGAGCCGCCCAAGACGGGGAGCCCATTCCCAGCCTCCGCCGCAGGGCGCTCACCACCCCCAGCTCTGCCCCCCTCCACCCTCGGGTACAAGGAACTCCTCTCCGGGTGCTGAACCTCTCGGCCTCCACCGCCCCTTCCCAGTTACTGAACAAGACCCCCGCCCCAGGCCCGAGCCCCCAGCCCGCAGGCCTTCACACCCCACGCAGCCCGCCCAGCTGTGGGGGAGGGCGGGGATCCTCTCACAGACCGAGCCCCAGCTCCTGGCCCTCAGCTCTGGTCCCCAGGCGCAGCGCCCCAGGGTCCTCAGAAGCTCAGGCCCTTTCCTCTGTCCTTCCCCAGGTTTTGCCCCGCGAACATGAACTGGATGGCAGCGACCTGCTGGGCTCTGCTGCTGGCCGCCACCTTCCTGTGCGACAGTGGCGAGACCAAGGGTGGCCGCGGAGGGGCTCGTGGCAGCGCCCGGGGAGGGCTACGCGGGGGCGCGCGCGGGGCCCCCAGGGCTCGCGTGAGGCCAGCGCCCCGCTACTCGGGCTCCTCCCTGCGCATGGGGGCAGTGGGGGCGGCGGCTGGGGCCGCAGCGGGCCTGGCTGCAGGTTCGGCCGGGAGGAGGGTCCTGGGGCCCTGGGAGAGCGGCCTGGACGACGAAGACGCGGTACCCGAAGGCAACAGGACGGGCATCTACAGCTACCGGGCCTGGACGTCGGGTGCGCGGCCCACGTGCGGCCTACAGCTCTGCCTGCTGCTGGGTGGCGCCCTCAGTGCCCTGGGGCTGCTGCAGCCCTAGGCCTGGCAGGGCTCAGGGCCCATCGGCCCCTGGCCCGGGTGGCCCCCCAGCCCAGAGAGGCTCCCTGAGTGGTTCTGCCAGGCCCAGCAGGCACAGCTGCCTCTCACAGTGACCCGGGTGCCACCTCCTGTTCACTGTCCTGCCCAAGCCCCTGCCGAGCCTCCCCACTTCCACCGGACCCTGGGCCCAGGAGCCCATCAGGTCCGGGACGCCCACCATACTCACCGGTTAGCGACCCCCCCAGCCAGAAAGGCAGTGCCCTGTGGCCCTGTACCACCCTGGCCGGCAGGCTCCCAGGTCTCCAGGGCTTCCCCAGAGACTGGTGTCAAGGCCAGGTGGTTCAGGCCACTTTGTCTCTTTTTTTTTAAAGATTTTATTTATTTATTTTTAGAGCGAGGAGAAGGGAAGGAGAAAGAGAGGGAGAGAAAGGTCAATGTGTGGTTGCCTCTCACGTGGCCCCCATTGGGGACCTGGCCCACAACCCAGTCATGTGCTCTGACTGGGAATTGAACCAGTGATCCTTTGATTCACAGCCCATGCTCAATCCTCTGAGCCACACCAGCCAGGCCACTTTGTCTCTTCTGAACGCACCCTGGACACTTGGGTGTGGATGGTGCTGACCACTGGGCAGAGGCAAAGGCTGAGGACTGTGGTGGCCGCCCCCACAGAAGCTGCCACAATGGACCTGGAGCACTGAGGGTTTGGGGAAGGGGAGGTTTGGCTCACAGCTGCCACGTGGAGAACGCCTGGTGCCGATGGCGTCTGTGGACCTCGGAGCCAGAGACGCAGCCCAGCTGTGGCTCTGTGGCCGCTTTCCCAGGAGCACACCCCTGCCCTGGGCTCTGCTGTGTCCCCGCTCCTTGCAGACACCCCGTGGGACCCACTGCCGGCAACTGCCTCGGAGCCACTACGCTCGGACTCCAACAAGGCATTTAACTCTTCTTGGGACCTACTTGGGAAAAGCCAACATTCCCTCTGAACTTTGACTTTCCATCCCCAGAGCGCTGGCCTGTGTTCTGTGCTGCAACTGCCGCTCCCACTGAGGGGGCCCCCACCCCGGCCCAGCCGGCCACAGTCCTGGCAGAGAGGCAGCGGCACCCCAGTGGGCAGTGCCCTGCAGGAGATGAGGCTGTGGTGTGAATGGAGGAGGCCAGGAGCCTGGCCAGACCCAGGACCCACATGGCCGCACACAGGTGGCTGGAGGAAGGCAGAGGTGGTGGCCCCAGCACCCAGCACACACGGGGCCATGAGAGCCGCGCCCAGCAGAGGGAAGCACCAGGAGCGGAGCCCCTCCAATACCGCCTGGGGTGTCTGAACACCACGAGGGTCTGGGATGGGGCTGACACCTCTGGGGTACACAGGATACCCAACGCCCCTATGTGCAAGGCCCGCCCTCAGCCTCCCGGGCAGCCAATGGCCCATCTCCCTCAGCCTGCTGGGGGCTCAGCCCTTCGCCACACCCTCCTGCTCTCATTCTGCTGTGCTCTGCGGAAGGGCAGCTTCCCAGGCCTGGCTCCTTGGGACTTAGCCTTCTTGGTGCTCTGCAGGAACCTCCCAGAATGCACCCTCGCTCCCCAGACCACAGGGCCTTTGGACTCGGCTGGCGGACAGGAGGGCCGAAATCAGCTCCTGCTGGGACCCTGCCCTCTGCTTCCCCTCAGGGGGTGCTGGTCAGGGGAGGGTCTCTCCAGGCTCCCGCAGGCCTCCAGACGGGTGCTTTCCTCCTGAGACGGGAGCCTAAGCCTCAGGATGAAGCTCCCAGCGGCCTCCTGTGTCCACGCTGCCTGTATTGAGAGTGCAGAGCCCAGCTGCCTCTCCCATCTGTTCCAGATGAAGTTCGATGCTACCGAGGACAGTGAGCATGGCCACGCCCGCTTGGGGCCGCAGAGGCAGCATGACCCCCTGCCACTCCACTTGCAGGTCGCAGAGTTGAGTCCTGCACAGGGAGGCCCATGACGGCAGCTCCTCCAGCTCCTGGGATGAGCTGCTCTCCCTGAGGGCACAAGCACCCGGGCCCAGCCTGGCTGCACGCAGCCACTTGGATGCCACCCCCACGACCAGCTGTGTGGCTCAGCCACTGGCCTGCTCTGGAGGCGAAGGGATGCCACCCTCAGGTCGAGTTCACGTCACCCGACTCAGGGTGAACAGCTGATGTGTGGCACAGCCCTGGACCTGAGTCCCTGCCCCCCCCCCACCTGCCAGTGCTCACAATTCTGACAGGAGGCAGAGGGTGCTCAGGGCAGGTCACCTCAGGACGGTCAGTTCGTGGGGGTGGGGAAACCACACGGCAGCAGGACCTAGAGGGACGCTTGCAGGAAGATCACTGGCAGCTCTGGGAAGGTCAGGCCACCTCCAGACACAGCAGCAGGGCTACTGGCCAGGGGAAGGCCCTGCCCCCTGCCCCCTGGGCCCCCTCAGGAGCAACGACAAGTGCCGGGAAGAGCCTCTGTCCCGTTAGCTGAAGGTGCTCAGAAGCAGTGGGAGCCCCAGGTCCCCGCTGACCACACCAGAGGCCCTCCCGGCCAGCACACGGCACCAAGGAGACAGGCCAGACTCGGGCCCCATTCACGTGTGTGTGTGTGTTTCAGTGGTGCTGGGAAATAAACATTCTGCTGGCGGTGACGGCTCCTCATTCTGGGACCCAGGGCACCGCGGCCCTTGTCCGAGCCCCCGTGACAGGGCTCTGCACGGCACCCCAGGGTTGCGGGTGCACAGCGGGCAGGACAACAGAGACGAGGCTTTCGGTCTCACACGTTTAATTCACAGATCTCACTCCTCCCAGGACAGCACCAGCTTCTCTGTGTGAGACAGCGAGCGCGAGCAAGTGTCCTGGCCAGGCCAGGCTGGCAGGGCTGACATCCTCGCTCCAGGCACCGTCCCCCAGAAGCAACAGCTGGCCTGGCTGTGCAGTGGCGGGAGGGCACAGCCTGCTCCCGCAGCAGAGACCTGAGTGCACAGTGACCGGCACACAGCTTCCAGCAAAGGGAGCCCCAAGTGTCACGCCTGAATATGAAGGTCTGGGATGCCACGCATCCCGGGGCTGACACCGGGCAGGGCCTATGCGTGGGCACTCTGCAGGGCGTCCCGGTCCAGCATCACGGGGCCCAGCAGCCCACTGCGGAAGGTCCGCAGGAAATCACGGGCTGCTGCGGTGTAGTTGGGCTGGATGACATTTACGTCCCCTGGGGAAGACGGGGGTCTGGTGAGGAAGGAGCCTCCACGCAGGGCAGGCCCAGGGCCCCACCCACCCGCCCTCTGCAACAGGGGCCCTCGGGTGGGCATCTGTGGAGCTCGGGCCCCGGGGTCTCCTCAGATGGAGCAAGGCCCCCGTGGCTTGGGGGGGGTGGACACGCAGTACACACAGCACCACCCAGGCCCCCGGTCGGGCGTGGACAAGAGCCCCTCCCTGGGCAGAACCTCCGCTCCTGGGCGGTGCGTTTCCTCCGCGACATCCTCCCCCGACGGCGGCCCCCAGTCTCACCTGTGCCCGTCAGCACCTTCACCTTCTGCGTCTTCCCCAGCCGCACGGCCACGCGTTTCAGCACACTTGCCACGTCGTCGCAGGCCTCGCCCAGGCCGTAGTGCTGCACGTACCTGCAAGGGGTGCATCAGCCAGCGGGGCCAGCCTTCGAGGGCACAACCAACCCCTCAACGGCCCTCGTGGGTGCGAGTGACCCCAGTGGGTGGCAGGGACTGGACCTCCCGAAGGCCCGCTGTGGAACTGCTGACACCTGACCTCCTGGGTGGCCGCGGACAGCCCCCCACTGGAGCCCTTGGCGGCGAAGAAATTACTGTTCACAGCTGTTGTCCACGCAGAGCAGCCTGGGGTCAGCACAGCAGGCCACTCCACACTCAGGCCACACTGCAGGGTCCAGCGGCCACAGCCGCTAGGACAGCCACGGTGATGCTCGAAATGCCACCATCAGGGCAGGAAGACGCTCGGACGCCCAGACCGGAGCGCGGACCCGTGAGGAGCCCGGTCAGACGTCAGGGTCGGCAGCAAAGGTGTCTGACTGGCCACTCTGACCACAGCGCACGCACTTGCAAAGTGGGGACACCCAAGGCCCAGGTGATGCCCGTGGGACTCACAGGGGCAGCTCCACGGAACACGCCGAGCAGGACTGAGCCACACGTGGCCACCGCCGTCCTGCGTGGGCAGAACAACTCAGGAAAATCAGTAGCTGCAAATTTGATGGGAACCAAACAGCCACAGACAGCCCAGAACTCACGACTGAAGAAAAGCACAACAGACCCACCATCCTGACTGCCCAGGACGGTGATTGGAGAAAACCTAACAGCGGACACCCGGCGGGGGGAGGGGCAGATGCCTCCCCAAGATGCAAAGAGCTGCCACCCAGAGCTCTGTGCACAGGGCAACGTCCTTTGGAAACGAAGGTGAGAGAAAGTCACCTTCAGACAACTCAACTGGGAAAGAACCGGCAGCGTCACACCAAACGCCAAAGGAGACCCCTGCCGGAAGCAGCACCCACCAAGGGACAGGGCCACGCACAGCAGAGCGACGGGCCCACAGCTTGTCTCCTCCTTGCCTTTCACAGCTCTGTATGAGCCAAAGCGGCCACCGTGCGCCTGGGGTTTGCAGCCACACAGAAGCGAGGCCCAGGACAACGACTACCCAAGGTCAGGGTGAAAACAGAAGCAGACTTGGGAGACAGTCGTGCTGCATGCGACGTGTTACCACATCACACAGTCTGTCTGTCTGCGAACCACAAGGCACCTGCTCCAAATAAAGTGAAGTAGTAAATGTGGCCAATGAACCTCAAGCAGCCGAAGACAGACAGACAGAGACACAGAGAGAGGGGGCGAGAGAGAGACTCATGGGGCTTGGAACGAAGACACAAATAAGCTCAAAGGGAAGGCCCCAGCTCGGGCCCCAGCTGCAGTGGTGAAGCTGGCACCCGACCAGCAGCTGTCAGGACAGAGAACTCTCTGAAGGGTAAACGAGGCCACATCAATGACACATGCATGGAATCGGCAAGGGGACATCACCGTGGGAACGTCCTGCACCTGACGGCGAAGCAAAGGCTGACACGGTGCACGGAAAACAGACGCACCAGTGCCACCAGAGACGTCAGGGCCCCTCTCGAGAGCGGCCCATGACACAGGACACCAGGGAAGCAGAAAGAAGGAAATGACGAAGGAACGGTGCTCAGTGCGACCCTGACACACAGAAGACAAGACACGAAGTTGCTGAGACCAAAAGCTGGTTCTTCAGGGGACATCTGTGAAAGTGACTGCTGTCCTCCAGGGGACAGAGGAAGGGTGTGCATCTCGCTCAGAAATGACAACAAGCAACTGTGTCTGTGCAGGGTGCTGCAGCCCGGCCGTGACCGAGTGCCCACGGACACGTCACCACACACGTCTGGAACGAGCAACACACCGTGTGGCCCTGTCACAGGAAATTCCAGGAAAGGACAGAAGGCAGGCAGGCCCAGGATGCAGGTGGGGCAGGAGGGGGTGCAACGCAGCTGCACAGACGCATTCCCACGTGAAAGCGAATCACACTTCACGTGACATGCAGACTGTCGTGTCTGCCATGCCCTAACTGTGCCCCTTCTTAACCTATGTTTGGAGAGGAGAGAGGGCCCCCTGCCACGCTCACCCAAACAGCTGGTGCCTGTTGAGGGTGTAGAGAAGGTAGTCAGCCAGGGTCTCCTCCCCGACCAGGTGGTCCAGCACGGTTCCTGGAAGCAGGCCGCCGAGGGTGAGTGCACGCCCTCGGTCTCAGCTGGAGGCTGCAAGGGGGCGGCTGTGCCCCAAGCCTGACCACTCTGCCCGTCTGGACAGGGACAGCGCTAAGGGTCACGGTGCCAGGCCCCAGGTGGGGTTCTGAGGGCCGCTCACCACACAGGGCCAGCTTTAAGCCCGTCTCCACGCTCTCGATCCGAGGAGCCAGCACCCCAGGAGTGTCCAGCAGGAACATCAGCGGCCGCTCACACACCTGTGGGCAGAGGGCCGGGGCTCACCCTCAGGAAGCCTCCAGCAGCCCCTCCTGCCAGGAGATACCCGGGAGGACTTCCCCGCAGCTCCATCTTCCTCTCCCAGGAGAAAGGGGAAGACACTGAGCTGCAGTTGAGACAACGAGCACCACTCTGCCTGACCTGACCACTGCATAGCCTTGAGCAGGTGACACTGCCCCTGTGCGCCTCTATTTGCTCAGCTGAAAACAGGAACAAGTGTGTCCCCCCCCCCCCATAGGTCTGGTGAGGCTGCTGCAGGGCCTGGCGCACGGCAAGCACCCAGTGGGAACGGAGACTGAGGGACAGGACGGGGTGGGCACAGCCCGTCTGTGTGTACAGAGCCCTGGGCCCAGCACCCGAGGCCCTACCTGAATTCTGGACATGACGGCTCTCGTGACCCCGGGCTCACCACCCACCCTGGTGGCTTTTCCTGCAGGACAGAAAGGGGCTATCAAATATGCATCAAACACACCCGCATGTCAGGCACAGAATAAGCTGTGAGACAGGTGGAACCCTGAGAAGGGTTCCCAAATGGGCCTGCATGCAGGGTTCAGCCCCAGATCAGCTCACAGCAATGACCTTTCCAACCAGGCCCATGTCTGCCTCCCGCTGCCTGGGAAGGCACTCCAATACCCACTGAAGAAAAGACAGGAGTGGCCCGACTGTGAAGGCTGGGCCACGGCTGCCCCTCCCAGCAGCCACCTGCCTCCCGGCCAGACCAGACCGTGTACGCCCTAGCCTGCAGCCTACACATCTGCCCCACGGCTCCGCCCAGGGCAGGCCCGTCCCGGGGCTGCCCAGACCCAGGGGTCAGCCTGTGCTGTGAACCGGCTGCCCAAGATGTGCCCCAAGCAGACTCTGCACCGTGGAACCAACTGGAGCGCAAAGGGACTGATGTCTACTGGGGGAGAGATGGGGCACATGCAGTCCGTCCACATGACGAGGCATGTTCAGCCGTCAAAGGAGCTTCTGACTCCTGCCACAGTGTGGGTGGACCTGGAGGACTCTGTGCTCGGTGACGCAGGTGGTCACAGAAGGACAGATGCGCGTGACCCCACTCACGGGAGCTGCTGCACTCGCAGGTGCAGAGACAGGGAGGACATTCCAGGTCGCCAGGGCTGGGGGACAGGGACTGCTGAGTCACACAACTTAATGCCACCAACCTCTCTACGCCACAATGAAAGAAAAATAAACTTCAAAAAGTAGATGACAGTGACCATGTCCCAGCTAGCATGGGGCTGTGCCCAGGGAACAGTGTCAACGACAACCACAGGCAGGTGTGGGGGGTGACGCCTGTGCAGACACGCTCTAAACTCTACAATATTTCACAGAAAAGAGAAAGGCACAGGTAGAGGGCTGTGGACACTCCCACGTGCCTCAAAACCAGAGAACCAGCAGGAGGCACGGAGACGCCAGGGGCTCCCAAAGGTGCCCCCCGTGCAGGCTGCCACCCCAGGGGGTGCCCCTGCCTGCTGCCAGACCCATCGGCTGCCAGGCTTTGGGTACAATGGATGAACAACTTAAATAAACGGAAAGGCAAAACCACTGAGGTTTAGAAAGGCCATCTGCGTAAGAAACAGAGAGAAGGGATGCAGTACGAAGTGTTACCGGGAGGACTGTCTCAGGTGCAGCCGAGCCTCAGGCTGTCAGCTGGGTCCTGGGGGAAAGGGACCGGCCCGAGGCCCAGGGCGGGCGGCCGCAGTACCTTTCCTGAGGTGCTGTCTCCTGAGTGAGTTGATGAGCGAGGACTTGCCCACATTGGGGATGCCAATCACCATGATGCAGAGCTCCACACTCTGCAGAGGCAGAAAAGCTACCATCAGGGGCACCGGACTCCCGCCGGGACCCCACTGAGACCCCACTGGGCCACACCGCGGGACCGGAAGCAGGGGCCAGGCAAGGGAAGAGGCCCTGCCCCCCTTCTGGGGGCAGAGCTCCGAGGTGCCAAGGACCTGGTCAGGCCCAGGGGCAGAGCAGGTGAGCCCCAGGCTCTTAAGCAGCAGGAACTGTCTCAGGGCCAGCACCAGCCCCCCAACCAACCTCTCCTCGGTGGTAGCGGTAGCTGCTCCGAACCAGCTCTGTGACTGCCGGGATGACCTGCAACAGACACCCACACAGGCACTCAACTGGGGACACTGGCACCTGTCCCTCCTGCCTCCCTCCCCCATTTCTGGACATGGCACCCCCCGGCTCGGTCTGCATCACACACTTGGACTATACTATGGTGGGGGGGCCACCTGTGCCCTGGCCTGTGCCAGCCTCCACCAGGAATGAGCAGGAGAGCCCCCCAGACAGGTGACAATCCCCTCTAACAAAGATGCATGTCACCAGTGAAATTCTCCAAATCCCACCAGTGAAAATAAGTTCTAGACTCTCGGAAGGCCGTTCCCCCTCATAACCCAGCACGCCGTCTGCAGCCAGGCTCTGCTCTTTCACACCTTCCGGCTGTCCAGGCTCCGGGCGCAAGGAAACGAGTGAGCCCGGGGACGAAGCTCGGCCTCTGATGACGGTGTGGAGTGGGTACAGCGTCCCCCGAGTTCCCTCAGCAGACGCGTTCCAGTGTGAAACAGAAAAACCTACCTGCTTGATGTTCTCATCCTTGACACAGTTGGTAAACATAACATTTCTTAGGCCTTGTCCTTCCAAGTGCTGTATAACTTTCTGGAAGAGATATAGACACTGCGTTTCATTTTTTATCTTTATTAGATTTTATTTAAGAGACAGAAGGGAAGGAGATACAGAGGGAGAGAAACGTCAATGTGCAACAGATACATCGATCGGTTGCCTGTCTCAGGCTCTCAACTGGGGACCTGGCCTCAGCAGGGAATCGATTCACTGGCCGGCACTCAGTCCATTGAGCCACACCAGCCAGGGCTCCGTTTTAAATACCAAATAAAAGCCGGGGCAGTACAACACTGAAGTCTGAGGACCTGAGACTGCCAGTGTGTGCTTGGGCTCAGAGCCACCGTGGTTGGGGACGTGGGGAAGGGCGGGCTCAGGCATGGCGGACCGGGTGCCAGGGCAGCAGGCCCTGTGTGAGGACAGGAGGGAAGGGCCCCGGTCTCAGTCCAAGGGCCTGGCTCCGCGGGGAGCAGCCTCAGCAGACACGGCCTGCCGTCTAGGGACAGCAGGCCTCCTGATAAAGTAAGGCTGAACTGAGTTATTCCGAAGCCACCTCTGGCACTGACATGCACGGTCTCCTCTTCATCTGGTGTTCTCCCCACTCACTCCTGGGTGTCCTCATGGTCTGGCACAGAACGAACTCCGCTCTGAGGCCAGAACCCAACCTCGCTGCAAAGCACGTGGATACTCTCAAAGCCCAGGAGTGAACTAAGGCCAAAAGGAGTTCGCTGGTGTTAACAGTCAGTGAGACCGGCACTGCACTGTGCAACCAGCTGCTGGCCTGGACGTGGCTGCTGCTTAGATGAACGAAAGGTCACAGTCAGTTTCAGTTACACATTTCAATGACGCAGATGAAGACACATCTGAAGCCATGCTCAGAAGTGCGTGAACGCACACGGACACCCTGCGCAGAGAGCCACACCGGGGCCCTCTCCACCAAGGCCTTGTGCAGCAGCACCTGGGGCCAAACGCACTGCGGCCGAGGCTGGGTAACCTCAGTATATCCAGCTCTATACAAGAGTGAGCATCTAAGGGCAGAAACAATCGCTGGCGACACTCAAGTCTCCACTGAGGAAGCCATGGAGAGCCTTCACTCAGAGGGGCGGCACAAGCTTGGATTCTCAAGGAACAAATGCCTCTGGTGGCTCAGCATGTGACATTTCCCTGGAAACCCGTGGCAGAGGCTGTGGTCAGGGCGTAAGCAACTCAAATGTGCTGAGGAACCTGAAATGCATTCTCGTTGCTGCAATGAAAGGAAAACCTCCGCATCATAACTGGGAAAAGGATTTCACCAGACTCGGGCTCTTTGCAAAGGGTCCGACCACAGAGCACGAAGTGGAGACGCACACTCACAGCAGCCTTCCGGAGCCCTGCCTCCCCTCAAGACCCGAGGGAACGGCCTGCACCATCAGCTGTGTCCCTGGCCCTGCCTGACTTTGGAGAAATCCGATGGCTCCTGGGGCCTCCCCCACCTTCCAGATCACTCCGTGGGCAGAAGGCCAGGCATCTGGGAGGCTGTGAAATGGGTGACTGTGGACACCAGGGGGAAGCAGCCATCACAGGAGACCTGCAGCCTTATGCAGCCACTGTATGCAAACTAACTAAAATGAAATAAAAGGAGACAGTCAGCTCCCGGGCCACAGGAGCCATGTTCCAAGCGCTCATTGTCACGTGGAGCCAGAGGCCACCAGGGGGTGCTGGGCGGCGGCAGCAGCAGCAGCAGCAGCAGCAGCAGTACATCCTGGCACTGCCCTGGGGGACACAGGCTAAGGGACCAGGGCTGCCAATCAAATATCAGTGGAGCACGCAGATTGAGGGCGTAGCACCAGAGCACGCCTGCCGGGCAGCGGGTCTGTCTCAGCGGTGACCGCCCTGGGAGCGCAGTGAGCCCTGCACCAATGCAGCCAGGTGAGGCCTCACCTGCTGGTCCTTCAGGTCAGCCAAGTCCATTTTGTTGAGGATGAGCAAGTGAGGCTTGATCCCAAGGGTTTCCTTAAACAGAGGGTTTCGGCCTGAAAGTGGGATGTGGCAAAATTAAGGAAGAAATTCCTTCAGATCTTGTATCAGCCCATCAGTTCACGTGGTCTTCTGGTCCAGCTCACTCCCTCAGGAGGGAACCTTCAGAAGGAGCTGAGGCCCAATCTCAGAGCGAGCGTGCAGGCAGCCTCGGCAGCCTCGCGCGTCCCTGAGCCGGGACTCTGGCCCAGTGCTGCCCTCCCCGGGAGGCCACGGAGCCCCTGAGGCCACTTCCTGTGGACAAGAGGCCACCAACAGGGTGGTGGCTCTACATGGCTTCTCACAGGGGAATGACAGTAATGGAAACAGAAGATAGATCTGTGGAAGGCTTTGTACTCAGACCACTGGTTGGTTGCCAGTCCACGACGGATGACCTGGCAACTGCAAAAAGTGCTGCCCACGAAGTCCTCACTGGTGCATCTCTTCTCCCACCACCACTGCCACCGAGGAGACAGGTCCCTCCCAGAGACCCCCACTTAAGTTTACACCTCTTCACTCCCATCACCGGGCCATTCGTCCTCTCTGCCAGGGACCCTGGGGCTCACTGCAGGGTCCCCCTCCTGTGACACTGACAAGAGGCCTTGGCCTTTACCTTCTGAGCACTCAGTCCCCTCCTGGTGCCTCATCTCTGACAGTCTGGCAGGCCTGGGCTGCAGGCACCAGGTACCTGCTGCGTCATCACCCAACGCACAATGTCCCACACAGCAAAGGGACACTCCAAAAGCCACACCCTTCCCTGGGAGGTTAAGCAACTCTGAGCTAACTCAAAACACCAAAAGCCTCCAGGCCGAGACACAGGGCCACGGAAGTCGGGGCTCCTTGCCCGTCCTTGGTAAGAAAGGGAGAGTGTCTAGAGACCAGAGGAGATGCCTTCCCCAGTCACAGTGCTGAACAACAACCACGGGTTTTGGTGTCATCAGACATACAAGTGCCAGTAAGCACTTCTGACCATCATGAGGCAGGACATGAATTGTTATGTTTGCCTACAATAACGAAAATCGATACTTTATTACAGACATTCTCACAAGCCTCTGAAATGCTGAAAACTGTCCCTCACCCTCCAACCCAGAGCTGGTACTCTAAGAACACTCAAACCAAAACCTTCATCACATAAAAAGAATCAAAACTAGCTCAACAGAGCAAAACCAAGGTCTGAAAAGTAAACTCCTTAACGAACACGAGCACCACTTCTTGCTGATCTGTGCCTCAGGCATGGTACTGGCTTCGTTTCCCACCTGGAGAACCCCAGGCTTGAGCCTGACAGGCAGAGCCCGGGGACAAATGATGCCACCAATGCATTGATGGAGAGCTTCCAAAAGCAAGGGCCTGACCCCACACCAGAGAATCTAATTAAGTGTTCTGGAAAAGGCCCAGGCCAATCTTCTTAAAAATACCTCCCGGGGGAATTTCAACATGTAAGGAGGGATGAGAACCACTGCGTAAGATGCCTGTAACCACGCAGGTGAGGCTGCTGGCTGAGGACGGGAGCAGGGACCAGGCCAGGGAGGTGGGTGGAAACAGAGCCAGGAATGCTCCCGCAGCCTCAGCACTGCAGGAGCAGGGCCCCCTGCACCACTACAGCTCTGCACCCAACTCCAACTGGGTCTCCCGCCACAAGCAAGTCTCCAGCACCAGCCGCCTATCCTGCTGTCCAACTCAGTTCTACCTGGACACAGCGTCAGGCCCAACAGGGTCAGGGCTCAGTCCCCCAAAATGCTCCCCCGCCCCACCTGACTCCCGTCACAAATCCAGGTTGTCACCTGGTCCCGTGATGCCCTCCTCAGGTTCAACTAAGAGCGGATCACAGAACTCAGAGGGATGATCACCTCACTAGATCACCAGGTCACCCACCACAGGACACACAGGCCAGTGGGTTGAAGGGAGGGTCTAGGGAAGGGGCGGGGCTTCCACGTCCTTTTGGGAGTGCCACCCCCCAGACCTCCACGAGCGATCACCACCTCTCCCAGCCCCGTCCCCTTGGGGTTTTGTGGAGGCTTCGTTCCACAGGCAAGATGGATGAACTCCTTGGCCATGGTGACCGATTCAACCTCCAGCCCCCTCCCTCCCTGGGGGCCTGGGGGTGGGGACTGCACGTCCCAACCCTCACGTCAGGAGGGGTCCCAACACCAGCCCCATCCGGAATGGCTTTCAAATTGCCTCACTAGCATAAAAGACACTCTTATCTCTCTCATTATTTAGGAAACTCCAAGGGTTTTAGGAGTTCTGGGCCAGGAGTGGGGACAAAGGCCAAAAATGTATTTCTTATTATAAGTCACAATATCACAACCAGCAAAGGATATCCGGGCATCATGGACCTCGATGATGCAGTCCACCAGCTTCAAGCTGCTCTGCATCTTCTTCAGCCCTGGAAAACAGAACACCAAAAGCCAACTGTCCGTGGCCTTTTGAGAGCACTACAACATTCCAGCTAATCTGTCAAGAATGACACACCGCCACAAGCACCCTAAAAAGAGTGCACCTGAATGACGTGCTTTACGTAAACACAACCATAACCATCTCCTGGGCCCCTCCATCAGATTCAACATGAGCGCCCTGATCTGAGGCTTTGGTGCCTCGGGATGGAAGATTTAACCTCTGTGGGTCTTCATCTGGGCAGTAAAACAGATGACGCTGTCAGGACCTGAGCTGCAGCCAACTCGCCCCTAACCAGGAACAACACGCAGCAAAGTAACAAAGCTCTTCCGCCCCCAGCCCCACCCACCCCACCTTCTGCAGCCTTCTGCTCGGCGACAGCAACACTGCTGCTCGGTCTCCCCTCTACAGTAACCCTGCCACTCACGCACACCCTCAAACGTCTCACCCCCTCTTCCCACCCCACCCCAGCTCCCTGAACACGCGTGCACAGTATTGGGCAGCAGCCTGGCGTGGTCCTGAGCGACCCCGGGGGCTGGGGCAGGACAGTGGCAACCACGACTCGAAAGTGCCCTTAAGACCAAATTCTGATACTTAGAAACTCCCAGACAGATTCAGGCAGAAGACTGGAAGTGACTCTACGTTTTAAGGAGCTGCAGGTATAATAACTGAATACGACTTGCGAAGTGGTTTCCTGTCTAGAGTTCCTTTAGTCCTCAAAATATTAAGCAGGAATATTACTTCTTCTTAAAAACCGAGGTGAAAACTGAGGCTTAGGGGAATAAAGTGGCAGAAGGGGCTTGCAACTCATCTCGGGTTACCCTGGGTCACCCCCGCCGCCAAAGCCCCCGCCATCCCAACGCGCTCGAGGGTGACCAGAGACGGCGCCGGAAAGCCGCCCCCTCCCTCCAGGGCCTCACCTTTAGCCATGTGGCCGGGGAACCAGCGCGCCACATCACGACCGCCCAAGGGGAAGCTCTCCCGCCAGACCGCCCGCGCGGCGTTGCACAGCGCGCGAGGAGTCAGCCTCATGACGCCCGGCGCCGAGCCCCACAGCAGCCCCGGGAGCCGTTCCCTCTACTGACCTCTCCGCCCAGCCCGCAACCCCGCCCGAAGGTTCCGGCACTCCAAGGTTCCGCTCAAGGGCCCGCGCGTGCGCACTCGCTGCCTCGGGGCCTCAGACTTTGCTCACTGGGGTAGGGCGGGGGGCTGGGGACGGGGCGGGGCTTCGGGACTGCCGCAGTCCGGTCCCACTTGGCAATTTTTCAAATATTTTAAATTTACCGTATAAATGTATCATCCTGCTTATCAAGTACTACAGGTTTTAGTGTAACAGACAAGCCCTCTGCAAATGCTGGCTGCTGTTATACACAGAGCTTGAAGCTGACAGTGCAACCTAGTCCCGACGCTCAGCAGCTGCTCAACCGCACACTGGGTTATGAGACTGTTACTCTAATGGAACTGTTGAAGCAAGTTCATAAAGACCCAACATGCTCAGGTCCTCAGCACGAAGACATCACTACTGTGGTCTAAATGGCCTCAAACCTCCTAACACTTGGCGCTAAATGTTCTTGGAGTTGAGACAAGAGCGCTCACCACCTACTATAAGCCCTGTCGGGTGACTTCCGGGCTCCTGATGAGTCAGACACCGTCGAGGGCCCAGCCCCAGCCCCCAACTCCTGGGTCCTGCCTTTGCCTCCTGGGATACAGAAATGTGTCCCCGAGGCACGTGGCTTGATGAAACTGTGGGTGTCCACAACCAGGTGCTGTGCACCCGATGGGAGCAGCATTGTTTCATAGCCCTTGGACAGTAAAATTAATTCTGGGTTCTGCTCACAGCTCTCTGATGGCAGCTGTGCAACTAAACTACTCCAGTGACACACAGCAGTAGACACACAACTCCGGGGCGGGGAAGACCCCTTTCGTGGAGGGGCCACTTGACCCAAGACAGGAAAAACAAAGCTCTGTGCCAACATTCATCCCCACACTGCCTGGTGCACTCCCAACGTGCTCCCCACACTCACCCTGAAACGTGCAGCTAACTGCCCTGTCCACCTGCACTTGAGGTCTGTTTGTTCCCTTCCTCCAGAGATCCTCAAGACACCGCACCTCCTGGGCCCTCCCGTCTTCCCACTCCTCAGCCCCGTCTAGCCCACCGAGCAGCTGCAGGTGAACAATGGGAGGTCTGTTGGCTATGCTGTGGTCCCGGCCACCAGTGAGAACTTGGGAACACCCGAACAAGGGGCAACCACAGCACCCAGAGTCCAGGGGACACGGGCAGGCAGGCCTAGTACCAGGGGCACAGAGCCCTGCAATGACCTGGGCCTGGGGCAAGTCAAAAACAGAAGCCACAGATGCTGCAGCCCTGGGTGTAAGGACGACTCTGGACACAGAGGCTTTAACATGCTTTATGTACAGCCAGTGCACCTGTGTCTCAATTCTCCAGGAAGACCTCCCACTCAGCTCCAGTTCAGCACTGGCCAGACCCACCAACAGAAGTGAAAATGAGAGTGCTGACCCTGAGTACAATATATCCCAGTGTCCGGCCAGGCTGAGCAGAGGAAAGGATGGCGAGAGCCTCCCCCAGCACTGAATAAGCAGGCAGGCTCAGAGTCTCGGCAGCTGTGCCTGGGGGTCCCGCAAAGCGATGAGCCGGTCGGCCTCCCTCCAGCCAGACAGCAGAGCCCCATGTGTGGTGGAATAAAAGGTTCGATGTGTAGCTTCTCCTGCGAACAGGACCTGGAGCTGCAGAGAAGGGAGGTTAGAACAGGGTGCCAGGGGTCAGTGGAGCTGACGGGGAGGGTGTGGCTGTTCTCCACCTACCCCACACCCTGATGCAGCCATGAAACAACAGCAGGCGCTGCTCATGGCAAGTGGCCTCAGACAGCAAGCACTCGGGATTCAACGTGACTGCACAACAGGGGACACAGCCAAGGGCCTGGGAGGAAATGCTGAGAACCTCCCCCCGGGAACACAGACAGGAGAAACAGACAGAATTAGGAGGGGAGAAGATAAGAACACTTGAGAACCAGTCCAGAAGACCACCACGCAAACGGCAGACATCTCAGAAAAAGATAAAAGAAAAAAGCAGAGAGAAGATTACATAATTCACAAGAACTTCCCAGCTAACTGAGGGGTCAAGGTGAGCCCTGTGAAAGGCGAAACAGCTGCCGAGGGTGGCAAGCCCCCAAACTCAGTGGGAGTGGGAGCCTCGCGCTCTTCCGAGCTTCCTAAGGGTTTGGCACACAGGAACTCCAAGTGGCTCTGGACTTGGCAAAACAGCACTGGAAAAGGTTCTAAACCCCAAGGGGCATGACTCTCACACTAGGATTTTATGTGCAAAGCGGGCTTTTGCGGGGCTGTAAGTTTTTGGAGACTCCTCCCACAGAAAAGGGGGTCTGTGTCCTGCCCCTGGAATCTGGATAGAATGGCGCCTTCTGACCCCCGTGCTTGGTCAGAGGAGGACATGCAAGTGCCCTGGGGCTGGTCTGCTGCCAGGAAGCCCAAGCCGCACAGAGCGGCCACACCAAGGAGCTCCAGGCAGTGTCCCGGGCAAGCTCGGCTTTCACACCATCCCAGCCTGGGCTGCTTGTGAGAGGAGACTCCATGACCCCAGGCAGGGCCCTGAGTCACCCACTGTGGGTCAAGTCTTCCCACTGAGACCCGAGACACCATGGGGCAGAATGAACCACCCCACTGTGCCCACCTATGGAATCACTGTTCCCACCACTGGGTTCTGGGCTGGTTTGTTACTTAGTGATCAAGACTGGACATTTGAACCGTAAGGGTAGAAAAAAGGCATTTTCACAGGCAAACTTTCTCTAAAAACTTACTTTCCATGAACCCCTTCCCAGGAAGCTCCTGGAATTAACAGCCCAACAAAGTGAAGGAGCAAACCCAGAGATGACACAGAGACAGGGCCCAGGGCGGGAGGGAGGCCAGGTGACAGTAGTAGGGGACAGGGCCCAGGGGGCCCAGAGGGCGTGAGGTAGACAGAGCACAAGCTAGCCGGGGTCTGGGGAAGGGGCAGGTGGGACAGGTAGGGCAGGGGCGAGCAGGGCACAGGGTGGGAGGGACAGGGGCAGGGCTGGGAGGGACAGGCTCTGGCTCTGCCTCAGGGGCTGAAGCTGGCAGTCCCTGGAGCCCGAGGTGATGCAAACAGCTAGCAGCGCCCAGGCAAGAGAAAACAGCCCTGCACACGCTCACTCACATGTGCCTGTACACACTCACCGGTGCACACTTGCTCACACTCATCTCATGTAAACACACATGTACATTCACACTCACTTGTCTCACTTGTACACACACATACCTGCACACTCGCTCACAGACAATGCACACACATCCACCCACCAACACCTAAAAATGAGCAGGGAGAGAAACCACATGGAGCAGCTCGGGGGTCGGTGGTACCCGGAGCCAGCGAGGTGAACGGAACACTAGCAGTCTCGCCAGAAGCCCCCGGCAGAGCGCTGGGCGGCAGAGGGGGAAGAAACCTAAGCCCTTGCACGCCAGTGTGAGAAGGCAGTCGGTTGGGCCGGACCAGAGGTTCCGGGGGTGGCACAATTGGTCACACAAATGGAACAGGGGTAACACGGCACTCGGAAGACAGTGCAGAGTGCTGGGTGACGTGTTCATTTCCATGACTGAATTGTTCATTTTAAGTGTGACAACAGTGCTTCAGTTACATATTTTAAGAGGCTGCCCTTTGCCTTTTAGAGATGAAACGTGTGCAAATAAAACGTCACTATGGGACAGGCTGGACAGCGGGAGCGCGGGCAGAGATCCACATGCCTGGAACCCAAAGGCTCTGCCCGCTTTCTTACACTGCTGATGTTTCCCACAGTCAAACGTTTGTAGAAAGTGGAGGGGAGGGCCTTGTCTGGGTGGCTCAGGTCTTTGCAGTGCGTCTGTCCCCAATACTAAAAGGTTCAGTCAGGGCACGGGCAAGAGGCAACCAATTGATGTCTCTCTCTCTAGCCCTCCCCCCGCCCCTTCCTTTCTCTCTAAAATCAATACAAATATCCTCGGGTGAGGATTAAAACCAAAGTGGTGGCAGAAACCTGTTCTTTGTAAGTCTAGAGACCAGAGTCAGCCAGAGCAGCCTGACACACCCTCCACCAGCCTCCTAAACTGTGAGACCATGTTAGAGGGCTCTAGGAATCTTTTGAGGCCTTCAGCTACGTGTATGTAGAATTCCGGTGAAAATGATGCATTTTAAAATTATTCTTAATTTCAAAAGGGATTCTGAGTCTCAGGGGTCCCAGCCCCACCCACACTCCCTTGGGTTCCAGCAGCTCCCGGAGACATGGACCACCCAGGGCTCACATCATACCTGGGCCTTCTCTCTGTCCGCAGGGAGGGGCTCAGCCAGCAGGTCAATGTCATCCCCAGTGCTGCCCACGGCCACGTAGCTATAGGAGCCCCTGGTGTACGGAGCGCTGTGCCAGCAAGTCCTCAGCACGCTCTTGGGAGCAGGAAGCTGTGGATTCCCTGAACCACAGAGACACTGGGTGTGAACTTGGGACTCCCGCCCGCAAGTCTGCACTGGGGCCTTTGTTTCCAAGGATGAGCAGTTTAAAATGAAAGAGCCTACCCGGGAAGGAAACCGAGCCTCGTAGGGTAGGAAGAGAGGCTCTCCCTATCTCATCCGCCCGCCCCACTCGGACACCACCGGGTGCGGCAGCTGCGTTCTCCCCCTGCATGACCACGGAGGTCACTGTGCTCGGCCGACTCCCCACAGGGTCGTCTGTGCGGCGCTGACCAAGGACAGCTGTAATTGCTTTGGTGGCGTATTTCAGAGGAAGGAAGCAGAAAGTGTTTGCAAAGCCATTTCAGTTCCTCAGAAACAAGAACCCAGGAACGTGACCCCAGTGCCATGAGGAAGGGTGGCCCCTGGAAGTTCGTGGAGGCAAGCCCGGTTCTTCCCTGCCAGGAAGCTCAGTTCCCGTCTAGAGATCAGCCCACACGGAGCACAGGCAGAGCCGTGGTCGTGCGTGGTGAGTACCTGTCACCCTGCGAAGCAGGCCGGTCAGGGACAGAAGCACCTCCTCATCTGAGAGCGTCTCCATGAACTCAGACTCGAGTCCAGCAATGAACCCGCAGAGCACGTGGGCAGACCTGCGCGGAGAAACCCACTGAGACAACCCACGTGGGGCCCAGCCCCCGCCGTCACGGGGTCTCTCGGCCAGGACCCAGACGCCACGCAGGGAGCCCACAGCACCCACGCGCAGCGTGCCCCAGGGGCTTTCCCGGGCCAGGGCGCCGCCGCAGGGGTGGGCCAAGCTCCCGGGGGGCCTTCTGTCACACTGGGCGGCAGCAGCATACGTGTAAGAGCCGTGGTGGGGACAGTGCTGTCCCTGAGCATCACCGAGGCCAAGACAGCCTGCACGAGCAGCGGGCCTCACCGCGCACACACAGTAAAAAAGCCACAGTCACTTGAGAGTGTCCCGCATGAGACAGCAAGTTCCTCATTGTGTTAAATCTCGACTCTATAGTCCTTGTCTTTCCAAGGGCCCACATGACGACACAGGAAGCGGTATGAAGCACTTCTACTGTGAGGGGACCTGCCATAGGCGGGTGGGCTCAACAAGGCACGTCCTTCGTGGACGCCGTTTTAAAGCCACCCACTGACGAGCTCTGTTCGGGTTTAGGCATGAGGCGGGCATTTTCTCAAAACCAAGGAGTGTGTTTGTCACCAGGAGAACAACTGCAAACATTTTCTGTGGATGATAAAATTTAAGCCTTCGAGCAAAAATGAGAATTTAAGAAAACCTACACCTGCCACTAACAACTGACTAGGGCCTCAGTACGGAGAGTCTGTCCTGAGATCGGTGGTGGCACCAAGTTAGTTTCTGATGCCGCACCGTGAAATGCACGACGCGTGGAAGACAGCACGGCCGTCGTTCCAGAGTGGCCCAAAGCGTGGGCAGTGAGAGGTCCACGCACGTGAGAGGCTGGCGGCTCGATTTCAGTGGAACAGAGTGAAAATCTCAGACCCCACACTGCAGCCAACCTTCAAGAGACAACTGCTGATTTTGGTGTCTTGTCCAAAAAGACCCACAATTATCGGAGGGCATTTAGACATAACCCTCCCCCACAGGCCTGTGGGGGCCCAGATCCTCCTCCCACTCCGCCCAGAGGGGACTGCGCCAGGGACACCGGGCCATCTGAAAGGCAGAGCCTGGGCTCTACTCACTGCTCCGTATTTTTCATAAAAAGTATTAGTTATGTTAGTATGAAATAGGTTTACTGTCTCTGTAAAAAGGAAGCATTTTGAAAATTTTCAGTTTTAAGTTCTAACATGGTACATGGGTAGATACACCCACAGGAACAAATGCTCTTTGGGATCCTTGGCAATTTTTAAGAGCGTAAAAGGGGGTCCCAAGGCCACAAAGCATGAGAGCCACTGTCCTGGGCCACGGCGTGTCCCACGAGACCCCCCCAGGGTCACCAGGACCGTGAGCCCCATGGTGTCCTGATCACAGAGCGCAGCTGTGGGGCCTGAAGCCGGCAGCCGAGCACACCGGTGACCAAGTCACTGCTCACCACAGCCAGAGCCCAGGTGGCAGCTTGATCTTCAGCACAAAGGAGACACACGGGGTCCCCTCACAGGAGGGAGCATCACCGCACTCTCATGGCTGTTGGGGACAAGCCTGCACTTCCCTTCTTACCCTGAGTCCCACCGACGGGACTCCCCAGGCTCCCCACATCTCTGCTGAACAACCACACGGCTACCTGAGCATTTTAATCTTGCCCAAAAAATCAGTCCCTCCCCCGCAACCAACAATCCGCATTCTCATCTCTGGGTGGGCACCAAGCCCACCAACGCCGCTTTACTTACACTGTGTCTGGGCTGCACAACTCAGCCCGAGACTCATGAGGGCGGCTTGTTCAGTTTCTGCACCGGGTTCCAGTACTGCCTCCCGGTTACAGTCACGTCCAGGTTTCAGACTCCCGTGACTATAAGCCCCAGCGTCCGAGTGTGTTGGCAAACACTTCCTCACTCACGGAGCAGGCCTCCGTCCCCCACACACTCTGGGCCCCAGCGTTGCGGACCAGCTGCACACAGTGGGGGTTCTTCTGTCCCCCAGGGGTTAATAAGTCCAGAGTGTCTGTCTACCGTTGGCACCTTGGGGTGCCCTTGGGATCCCCACCATTAAACCCTCCACACCCCTCACAGCGAATCGACACACTGCTGGACTCTCAACGACACTGCGGCGGATGACCCAGGCCCCTCTCAGCACACGCTCACGCCTGAGGCTGCCCCAGAGGAGTGGGGAGTGCACGCACCCGAAGGCAGGCAGGACCCAAAAGCCAACCAGCTTCCTGACCCAAGCGTCCTGCAGCGCAGCGGCAACATCCTCCAGGGGCGACGTGTCCTCCCACACCACCTGGATGTGCCGGCAGCCGGGCTCCCAGAAGGGCTCCTCGAACTCCAGGTAGACCTTATTGTTGGTGCCGAAGCCGAGTTTCCTGACGGCCTCCGCCTTCGCAGTGGGCAGAGGCGGCTCGAAGAAGGTGTCCAGACGTTCTTTAAGAAAACCTGGAATTCATAATCGGACTCAACTTACACACTACTCTCCTAAACTGGAATGGACAACCACAGGGGCCCACCCTGACACTGTCCGAGGACTCAGAGGCCTCCAGCACAGGCTGCCTGCTCGGGGCCAGGAGAGGCTGGCCACCGGGACCCATGACCTCGGGGGGGCAAGCCTGCAGCACACGGGCATGAAAGGCCCTGTGGGCACCTGGACAGACCCCACCCCAAATGCTCTGTTGGGACGGAGTCTCACGTCCCATCCCTCTGCCTCTCAAGCCCTGCAGAACACACATGGCTCAGGATCTGTGGGGAGAAGCTGTGAGAGGCACAAGCCTTAAGAGGCTACATAAAAACTACTCTGCCTGGCCCTGGCTGGTGTGGCTCAGTGGACTGAGCACAGCCCTGTGAGGAAAGGGTCCCTGATCCGATTCCCGGTCGGGGCGCATGCCTGGGTTGCAGGCCAGGTCCCCAGTAGGGGACACATGAGAGGCAACCACACACTGATGTTTCTCTCCCTCTCTTTCTCCTTCCCTTCCCCTCTCTCTAAAAATGAATAAATAAAATACTCTGCTTGGGGAAAATATTAGTTTAGTCCTAAGTCAAACAAAAATGGGATGAAACATTCACAGCAGAAGCCAATCTCTTCAGACGCACGAGACCTGCAAGTCAGTCGCAGCCACACCCCCAACCCCATCCCTGAACACAGGTCCTGGACTCCCCCCGCAGGTGCACCCGCACGAGTGTTCTTACACACACGTGCACAACATCGTGTGAAACAGAAAACGTAAATACGACCCACAATCCATCCATGTTAAATGGTGACACTCACATACAAGGACATTCGGTGTGGCTGTAAGAAGCAAGTGTGACATGACACAGTCATAACAACGCACCTACTGATCAAAGCAGGGGCTCAAGAAGCACCGCAAGTCTGACAGAGCAGAGCCACTGGGGGCGGGGCTCTGTGATGGACCCGTGTGTGCGGAGGTGGAAACCCTGGCAAAAGACTAAGCCGGCCCTGGCCAGTGGGGTCAGCAGGCTGCGCGCTGCCTGCAAAGCGAAGAGTCCCTGGTAGTTTCCCACTCAGGTCCCCTGCCTGGGGCACATGCAAGAGGCAACTGATTAATGCTTCTCTCTCACATCCACGCTTCTCTCCCTCTTTGTCCTCCCCCTCCTCTCTCTAAAAATAAGTAAACAAAATCTTTTTTTAAAAGGTTAAGAGAAAGAAAGCAAGCAAGCAAACAGAAGGGCAGAATAATGTTACTGTGTCTGGATGACTGCACTGAGGAACATGGGGGAGACTCCGTCCTGCCTCGGCTCTGGCACCTGCTAGCTTCATGAACTCGGGCAACTAGGTGACTTATCTCAGTGGACTTTGGTCAAACAGTATGGGGCCCAGTCAGTCCTCAGGCTGTCAAACCTGGATTTCAACGTTTCCACCTTCCACCAAATTCCCAGCTCTACTCAAAGCCTCTGTCTAAGGCATCAGCTCTAGACTTCCACAGATCATGTACTTGACTCCTTCCTTGGTGACTGACTGCCTGGACCTAACCCTGAGGTGTGGCTGTCACCCTGTCTCTCAGGTGGACCTCCGTCCTTCCCTCCTGTGGGCTCCCAAACTTTCAACAAATTACCCCCAAAGGAGAGAACAGCTGACTTGCCTTTTCTCAGTGAAACTCCTATTTGCAAAGCATGCAGACTGCTCCAAAGCACAATAGAGTAATTCTCTCCAAAACTTAGAATGGAAAATGTGAGCTTAGTAGCCAAGGAAGCTCCAGAGCCAGCTGGGGACAGGAGAACGCCAGAGGCAAGGTGGGGGAGGGGGAAAACCTGGCTCAGAAAGTGGGTTTACCCAGGGGCACGGTGAGGACCACGTGATGTGCTGGGAAGCAGCCTCCATCCTCACACTCCACCAACACTGGAAACGTCTCCCCGGTGGATCCAGCTTCCTGGAAGGAGCCGTTCCAGTGAATAGTCTTCACAGGCTTGTTAAAAACCATCACGTCCTGGGGCAAAGAGGCCACCAAGCAGTTTGTGAGCCCTTGGTAGCCCCTGGGAGAGACAGAGTGTCATTGATTAGAGGACCGGCCTAGAGGCAGGACCTGGAACAGCCCTCCCAGCAGCTGCAGCCACTCTGGTGCCCATCTGGGGCACCAAACAGCAGAGGAGGCTGGGCAGGGGGCAGGGAGGGCCTGGGGCCAGGCTCATGCCAGGCTCCTCTTGGTGGTTTCTGAGCTACCACAGGAATGTTAATACAGCCTCCTGGCTAAGGGGAGGGTTAAATGGGCAACAGAGACAGAGAACAAGCGCCCTTCGGGTCTGCCCAGTGCCCTGGTTCTGAGCATTCAGACTCACATCGGCCTCCCCTGTGCAGGAGCCTGGGGGACACCAGGGAGAGTCCAGCAGGACAGTCCTGGGAGTGTCTTCCAAGGGCCCGGTATGGGGACAGCCACCCTACTACAGGGAACACTGTCCTGAGCACCTAAGGGCCCTTGTGAACAGGGGAGAAAGAAAGCATTACAAGATGATGTATTTCTTTTCATCACTTTTTCTTGAAAATATTTCCTTTTCCTTAAATGAGCACAACCAGGGAAACAAATGACTGAATCTCTAAAAAGGGGAGACAAAAGGTCCCCTTGTCACTCCCACAGCTCCCCTGCCTCCCACAACTCCACCTGAAGTAGATAAAGGGGGCCTGAGGAGCAGGGAGGGGGCAGCATACCCAGGAACGGTGCAGTCCAGCCCCGGCAGCACAGTGTACTCCCCAAAGGGCCCGAGGGCCACCAGGTCCATGCTGTGAGTGCCGCTCACACAACACTCCACGTTGAAGAAGTTGTTCAGAATGGCCAGTTTGAGCTTTCTGGCCTCCTCACCCTCTGGCCAGCCGGCCACTCGCCTATGGATCTCTTTCTTGAGGTACTCCCCGACGCTGGGCACAGGAGCCTCGGACACGTGCAGGAACTCCCGGGACTGGTCTATGAGGCTGTAGAACAGACTGCCCATCTCCGCCACCAGCTCAAGGCTCACCCTTCCCCCAGAGCTGGCGTAAGACACAGAGGGCAGGCCCACGTGACCTCCAGTCTCTATCTGCTGGTTCTCCTCCGACAGTTCCTGGTCCCCCAGAAGCCCGTACTTGGCAGCCAGCTGGAAGACAGGGTTGCCCTGGGAGGGCCCGTGGATCCAGTGAGCACCTATCTCCACCACACCACCTGGGAGGGGACAGAGATGCCACCTTATGGTTCTGTCCCAACAAAGGACACCCCTGTGCCCTTCTCCTGGATCACAGCCAGCTCTGCCTTTCCCAAATATGCTCTGAAAACCAGCCCAAGAACCACAGGTCCCTGAGGACCACAGCCCCTCCCTGAAGGGACCTAGTTTAAGGAGAACACCTGGGGGGGGGGCGGGGCGGGTGCGCTGGCCTGCACCTGCCTGAGGAGGACTCTGGACCGGTGTCTGGGAGCCCGCGCAGGCTGCAGTGGGTACAGGCCTAGGCTACCTTCCCACAGGGCCGGCCCCAACAGGTGGGTTTGGGGGAACCAGTGAACTTTGGGTGATTAACTGGAGCGCGGCGGGGATTCACTAGGGCAAGTAAGGCTTCCATATTGGTTAACCCCGGGCGCAGGCGGGGCCAAGAGGTGTCAGAGGTCGGGCGGGACCAGTAGGGATCCGGGAAGGCGTTCAGGAGAGGCCGTTACCAAAGCTGCGCTCGGAGCGGATGCGGCCTCCGGCGCGGGCCGTGGCCTCCAGGACCCGCACGTGGCGGAAAGCCGGGTGGCGGCAGAGCCTCTGCGCTGCGCCCAGCCCCGCGATGCCGCCGCCCACCACCAGCACCCGTGGACCGTGACCCGGGGCCTCCGCGTTGCTGCCACTCGACTTCATCGCGCCGTTCTGGGCAGTCCCCGAAGGTCCCCGCCGTTAAGAGGTGCAGACCGCGCGACAACCCCAGGCTGGCAGTGAAGGGGACGAGCCGGGGGCGGGGACGGGATGGGGACGGGGCGGGGCCTGGTGGAGTTGCCGGCCGGGGGCGGGGCCGGACGCGAGCCAGGAAGCGGATGTGGGCACGTGACTAAGGTGTCTATTTAAATAATTCAAGGACCTGCAGACTCAGACCACTCAGTCCTCAGTGCCGGACAAAACCTGAGGCTTCGGGGAGGTCAGTGGGAGGAGGCAGAAAACAGGCATATACACATATGACAGTTTTCTCCAGCGAAATTTGCGTGCAAGGGATGTGTGCACTTTCAGAGAAGGAAGTGGGGAGACGTCTTGCCGGAAGCTCTCTGAAAATTCCTGCGGAAAGCCCAGCTTCAGGCTGACGCCGCTCCTGGCACTGAGCAGTTTCGCCAAACCGGTCGAGGTGCCCTGGCAGGGGAGACAGTGGCTTGTGTGCCACTCACTGGGCCGGAGGCCCTGGGCTCCTCACTTCCCACCCCGCACTCCGGCCTCCTCTGCGGGAGCTCGCCGACCAACTGGAGCTCACACGGCTCTCGCTCAAGGCGGCCAGAGCTTCCATGGCGGAGTGTGCGGGTCCCTCGAGGCTCACGCGCGGTGAGGAGCGCCCACCGGACTACTTCACGTCACCAGGCGGAGGCAAAAGTAGCACAAAGTCCCGGGAGGAGCCCCGGTAGCTGTGGGGACCCTGAGGTGGATCCCGAATGAGCAGCACCACCTCCCAACGAAGCTCCGGGCCCAGGGCCAGCTCTCCGAAAAGATGACTGCCTGACCCTGACCTTCCCACTCAGCCTGACATCCCACAGCTAAGGAGGAAGGGCCCACTGGGCACCCAGTGAAACAGCGTGTCTGGACTGCAGCCACCCTGGCCCTGTGACGGGAAAAGACATCGGCATTTGGGCTGCCTGTCACTACCAAACCCAATAAACAATGACAGCGATTGACTCTTTTAAGGGTGCTTTATTCAGATGCCCGGCGATGGTGGGTTCATACCCTAACAGACAGTCTTGTCTTTTCTTTCCAGGCCAGACCTTTTATAGGGGGGTGGGGGGGTGGGGGAGCGGTTGATAAACAAGATGTGGTGAGGGCTTTGAGATTCAGAAGCTGCCGCATTCCTCTCCTGGGCAGTTAGCTGTTCCCAGGGGAGGGTGGTCACCTGTCCGTGGAACACAAAGGCCTGGGTGCCTCCAACTTGTTCCCAGGCAGTAATCTCTAGCAGTGCCTAGGAGGTCAGCTGTTTTCCCAGGAGCCAGTATGGGCCTTATCTGTAGTTTCTGAAACAAAAAACTTTAACATACACATTATTTGCTGGACTTAAAACTTTTTACCTTGAGCTAAAATTTTCCAAGTCTTGAGTCCCTTATCAGCCCTACTTTGCAAAGGAGGCAGTCCTCCTTTTGGGAGGAACTTCATCCCTCATTGTCTGAAGCAGTCTCTGGTTGGAGGGGTCTCCTTCCTCAGAGGTTCCCTATAAGCCTGGGCTGTGTTCCCCCAAGGTTTAGCTAAGCCCAGGGGGCCACTGGGCTGCTGCCAACGTCCCAGGTGTCTTGTCTACCACTGGGGGCACTTTCCTGAGCTTAGCAAACTGGCCTCTGGTCTCCGGGTGTCTACCCAGTACTCCTGGGGTAAGGGACCCTGCAGTCAGCATGCCCCTCTGCATGGCCCCTCTGCATGGTTGGTTTCCCTGGGGGAAGGCGGCCTCCCTGCATGGGCCTTGGGCCTTGGCTGCTCCAAATAGACGGGCTGCATGGGACCTCGGCCCTCCCTCCATGTGTCTGGTGGCTGCCACCACTCCTTTCAAAGACAGTGTTGCCGTCCTCAGGCAGGCTCTGTTGCCTCTGAAACTCTCCTGTGCCATTGTTTAGGCTCTCCTGTCCTCCACAGTCAGCTGCCCTGCAAGGAGCCCTAGACAAGGTACCGGATGCTACTCCGCCCCAGGCACATGGTATCACTGTATGTTGGCAACCCAGGCAAGTGCCCTGACAGGAACAGAACCACCAACCTTTCGATTCAAGCCACGCCAGCTGGGGCTCTTCTTTTTGTTTTTTTGTTTTGTTTTTAAGATTTTATTTACTTATCTTTAGAGGGGAAGGGAAGGAGAGAGGGAGAGAAACATCAATGTATGTGCCTTTCGTGCATCCCCTGCTGGGAACTGGCCTGCAGGGAACCTGCCTGCAACCCCGGTATGTGCTCTGACTGGGAATCGAACCGTAATTGTCTGGTTCACAGGCCCACGCTCAATCCACTGAGCTACACCAGCCAGGTCTTCTTGTTGATTGATGCTCTCCTACTCTAGGAAGGCAGGGACCACTTGGCTGAGTGCCTGCTCCAGTCTCCCCATGGTGGCCCACATGAGCCAAAGGGTAAAAATGCCCTGTCCCACTCACACCTGACCACACCTGGATTGGAGGCTTGGGTGCAGGTAGGGGGTGACTGGAGGAAACAGTTACACAACTTAAATTGACATGCTAATTATATGGCCAGAGAGAGGGCAACAAACAGCTCTGACATCTGTGGAGGGAGCACCTGAGGTGCCAGGAGGTACGAGGGGATCATTGGGCCCTGCCGTCCACCAGATGCTGCACCACTGCCTGGACCAAACACAGCTGCATCCAGCACTTTGACCGGCAACAGAGTCTGTTATTCTCAGCCATGTGCTCTGAAACAGGAGACTCATTTGGCCCTGGTCAGTACAGGACCATTTTTCCACGTCTGAGGCCTCCCGCAGCAGCTTCAACACATTGAGGACACAATTCATTTCAATCTGACCTGCACAAAGTCACAGCTCTTCCTGATACCAGGGACCACCTGTGGTGATGAGGATGCAGCTACTCCTGACACTGCCCAGGTGGCTTAACCAAACCAGGCTGTTCATTGTTTGTAAACAACTTCAGGGATTAGAATTCTCATACCACACACTTCACCCACTTAAAGTATACAGTTCACCATTTTACAGCATATGTACCACAGTCAAGCTCAAAACATATCTATCCCCCCAAAGAAGCCACGTACCCTTTAACCTTGCTCCACAGCCAGTCTGCGGCCCCTGGCGACCACTCTGCCCTTCTCTCCATGGAGCTGTCTGTCCTGGACATTTCATACACATGGCGTCATACTCTCGGTGGCTTCTTTCACTCAGCATGTTTTCAAGGTACATCCACACCATACCATGTAGCATGCATGTACCAGTATGCTTAATTTCTTTCTACTACCAACCATTACTCCACTGTATATTCTCATGTACCCATTGTATGGGTATCTCACGTTCTATGCATCCACTCATGAGTGATAGACAGTATTTCCCCACTTTGGCTATCATGAATGGTGCTGCTATGAACATTCACATAAAACTTGTGTGTAGACACGTCTCCAAAGTGCCTGCTTCCTTTGACACCCCCACTGGTGGCCTATGGGGGCTCGTTTCTCTACACCCTCACCAACCCTTAGCATTGTCTGTCTTTCCGACTGCAGCCATCCCAGTAGCTGTGAAGGGGTATCTCCCTAAGGTCTTGATTTTGGTTTTGCCTAATGACTAGGGATGTTGAGCATCTTTTCATGTGCTTATTAACCACTTGTATGTCTCTGTTAGGGAAATGTTTGTTCAATCTTTTGCCCATTTTTAATTGGTTTGTTTTTTATTATGGAGTTCAAAGTGTAATATATATTCCGGACACAAGAGCCTTATCAGATATATGATTTGCAGAAATTTCCTCTCATTATGTGGGTTGTCTTCACTTCGTTTTAAGCCCCCCCCCCCAGTGGCCTTCTCTCCGCACTCACACTTCACTCTCCGTATTTCCCCTTTGTAACACATAAGTTTTTAATTTTGGTGAAGTCCAGTGTATACATTTTTGCTTTTGCTTTGTCAATGTATTTTTGTCCCTACATTACTTCAGGGAGGACAGTAGCCATCCGACCTCAACACCAGCCCTGAGGTTGGAAAAAACTTCCTTTACATCGGGCCACCTCGATTTGGCTGCCTGTCGCACTCACACAGAGGCCCCTTTAGTAAGGGTTGTTGGTAACGGCTCTCTTTGCATGAAAATGTCTTTATTCTACCTTCGGTTTTGCAATGAGTCTTGCTGAACATCAAGTGCTAGTTTGAATTTCATTCTTTCTTTCTTTCTTAAGAATATCAGTTTTGCTTCCCGTCTGCAGGGGGCGTCTTTCATCTCCAGCATTTGCAAAGCCTGGGCAAGAAAACGAATGGGAGCGGGGGCGGGCTGATACATGTCCAAACACTTTAAAGTTATAAATGACAATCATTTACATAAAATGTTTCATTGTTAAAACTTAATGAAATCTTATTTTCGTAAAAAAAGGAAACTATTCACAATCTAGTATTAATAGCTACCTAGTTGCCCATGTAAAGAATCAGTATTGTGCTTCGAGCCTGTTCCATTTACACCGATAAATACATTTCAGAGTGATATGAATTGTTTAATGTTACTCAGTCACCTTGTGCCTCTGGCCCACAGGCAGAGGAGTAAAAAAAAAAAAAGGAACGAAGAAAGATGAGGGGTGTTTCCCTTTTCCTCGTCGAAGCACTCAACTCCCCACCGCACTTTTACCGGTTTTCTACCGACAGGGTAAGGGAAGGGAAACGCTGGGGCTGCTGAGCTTTGGATCCTGAGCGCGGATCCCAGGGTCGCAGGTTGTGTTCCGCCCGCACAGAGCGCTGTTTGCATCTCCGGGCCCGACGGCCGGAGTGAGCTCCGAGTCCGGGGCTCCGGGAAACCGAGGTGTGGGTGGAGGTCGACACCTGCGAAGTGGGGGCCACATTCCTGCCCGGCAGACACCCGGGAAAAAGGTGCCAGGGCCGAAGGCCGGGCGAGCGCCCACCACTGGTCGGGAAAGGAAAGGGGGTGACGCTGCCCGGCCGTGGGCGCGGCACTGGCCAGAAGCTGCGGGCCTGCACGCGCGGGTTGTGTTCTCCTGATAGCCCCCTTCGGCCACGCCTGGAGTCTCAAACCCGGGCCCGCCCAAGCTGCAGAGGTTCGCCCGCGGGCGCTGAGGCCCAGGCTCTGGCGGGCGCTCTCAGGTGGGCAGCAGCGCGGTCCCAGGAAGGTGGCGCTGGGTCTACGCGCTGACCGACCCCCACTGTTTGGCGGGGCTCGACGGGTCTGCCCATCAGAAGCCTCAGGACTACTTCCTAGCACTGGGGGTCCCCCAGCAGCCGGCCCAGTGGGGGTCCGACGCCACAGACTCGCCTTCGGCCCCCTGTACCTCGAACCCACCCCAGCAGCTTCTTTCCCTGTCCATCCATTCCCTCCGCCTCGGAGCCCCGCCCAGTCCCTCACGTCCCTTCCGCTTCCCGGGCGCGATCTCGCGATGCCTGCCTGCGAAGGGGGGCGGGCCGTGCCCGACGCCAATGGGCGGCACCGCGGGCCGCGGGCGGGGCCAGTTGTCCCCTGAGCGCCATGGCCGCTTTGCACCGCTTGCTGTCCCGGGCCCGCGGCCCGCTGCTCCCCACGTTCAATTGCGCGGTGCGGCGCCCCTTCGCCTCGGGTGAGTGCGGGTGGGGCCGCCGCAACACCGCGCCCGCCGAGCCCTGAAGACTCGGTCGGGGCCGCCCGGTGCAGGTGGCACCTCTGGAATTACAGGTGGTGGCCGTCCAGTCCTGCCAGCTCGCACCCCTTCCCGCCCTTCTGCGGCGTCGCGGAACCCTGCCCGACCTTCTTCTCTCAGCCCTGTGCCGGGTTCACGACCCAGTACCAAGTCGTGTCGGTTTGACCCCAAGCTCTCTTTGATCGCCGCCCCCCACCCCGCAATGGTGCGCGGGTCTCGTGACAGGAGCGCTGCAGCCAAACACTGCCTTTTAGACCAGGTGCTCCCCCACACGCCCTCGGGGCAGGCACTGTGATCCCTGTGTTCCCTGACCCAGAAAGCAGCCAACGCCGACAGGCAGGCAGGCGCTCGCCTTTTGTCCTCGCTAGTTGTCACTGCTGA